AAGCTTTTGATAAAAACTTTAAGTAAAAGCTTGGGGCGCCATCAGCCGCTGGGATTGTAAATTGCACTGAGTGCATGGCACATAAATATTTCTTTTCAGCTGCTGTCTGTGTTTTTCATTTTCAGACCCAACTCCAACTTGGATCATTTGGCAGTTATAATATCTTCAATCGAATGCTAATATTTACATACACTGCCAGCTCCATTGATATGTGGCCCAGTATGTCCGTTTGCACCTGTTAGGCACGCTAACAATGTACAGGTGCGCATTGCTGTTGTTACTTTTCGCTCTAACGATTTTTATTTTCATTGCAATAAACATAAATTTCAGCTTGGGATTTGTTTGGCATTCAGTTTAGAAACAAAAGAGAAGCAAAATCAATTTTCAATCTGCATGCACAACAATTTTATCGTATTTAAGTTGCAGTTTTGCCAGTTTCGTCCAATTGGTTCATACAAATTGCATTGAGCTAAGGCAAACCGTTGGCAAATTTAATTATTAGAAAACAAACTCTATATGTTTTAATTTTATATTTCTACCCATCTCCCGCTCCGCATTGTTTTGCTTAGCTCTTATTGAACTTTTGCTATTGTATGAATTGATGTTTTATTTGGTTTGAGTTTTAGCCAAAAGCCGCCGGCATTGGCGCAAAGCAAATCGCAAAAATTAATAATTAAACAATTTTGCGAAACTATGTAATTGACAAATAAAATGCAATGTAAGCAATACAATGCCAGTCACAGAGTGTGAGCGAGCGCTTAAAATGATTTATAAATATGCAAATTATGCGCGCAATCAACAAGAGCCAAGCATTAAAAATTATTATAAATTTTATAAATTAAATTTCTAACCAAATACCATTACAAAATACATAAAGCATTCAACATGGCACAAATTCTATAGACAGCATATGATGATTTTATGTATAACAAGTGTCTGGACTCGGCTTTGAACCTTTTCAATAGAAAACTTCAATTTATTATAAATTTATTCAGTTCTATTTATATTTATTTGGCCAAATAACTTAACTTTTCATGTTGAGAGTACTTTGAATTGAGTTAAGTATGAAAAAGGTACGGCTACGTCTGTTCCCAAAATACATTCACAGATTTTACAAAAAAGATTTTACCTGCGACATATTTCCATTAAAAACAAACAATAAAACAAAGTCTTTTCAATTAAAAGAATTTGCAGCGTAACCCAAGTATTTACAGCATTTGCTCAGAGTGTAAAAAAGACAAACAAATTAAAGTAAAATTGATTTGAGAACAGCTTTGTCGCGCATATTTCATAGCTATCGTTAAGAGTATATATTTCAAATATATAAATGCCACACACATAATATAGATACATTTTGTTACCTAGACAATTTATAGTTATGCCAACAATTGCATAAAGCTCGCCCTTTCTCTGTCTCTCACTCACGCACACTTAACCTGGCCCAAAAAAAAAATAAAAGCCAAACTAAAGCAAATCAAAACACATTTTTAGGTCGAAAATTGTCTAAAAATGTGCAATTGGCGCGCTTGGCACGGCCAAAGCTGGCGGCTTTGGCTATATAAATTTCAATCTATCATTTATTCAAGTCCTAGGCCCTCCGCAAAAGATACAAAACGAACAACAACAACAAAAACAACAACAGCAAATGCATTGCCGCGGCCCAACGCGCCGCTTCGCCATAAATCCCCATCAGATACGCGTATATTTATTTACTGCAACTCACACAGATACATTTACACCCACACCCACACACATACAGAAGCACAGCAAAGACAACGATGGCGACAAAAATTGTTGCCGAAAAATAAAATGGCTGCTTTATATTTTATTTGATTTTGTTCGCCAATACCCTGTACAGGTGCCTTTGGTTTGCGTATATTGATTTTAAAAATAAATCAAATAAAATAAAATTAAACAAATAATTTAATAGTAATATTAATTCTTGCATGAAATTGATTTCCCTTAATCTGAAGCTTATAAAAAATTTTACCTTATATAATTTTTAAAATAATTATCAGCTTTGTTTTTCATTTAAATGATTTAAAGAATGCGATCCAAGCAAACCCTTTGCTTTCGTTGTGTTTGTTTTAGCTGATAAATAATTCCTTTTAATTAAGAAATTTCGCAAAGGAACCCATCAAGTAGCCTGTTAACCTGTTAATTATTGAAAATAAATCTCTTAGCTGCTCATTCGCACAAATTTTGTGGCGTGAAACTAAATAAAACAATAATACAAATTACTTAATTTAATCAAAGTTAAGCCGCCGGGCATTAAAAGTAGCCTCCATTCGATAAGCATAGCACGGCAAATGTCAAGAGTTGCGTATTTGCTTGAAATACAATACATATTCTCTTTGCCCCATTTTGTTCTATTCTAGGTTTTTGCTTCTTTTTTAAATCTGATTACAAATGCGAATGAAGAAGTAACTTCATTTTAGTTAAGTTAAGTCCAAACCATAAAGCCCTAATTTGGCATAAAATTATTTCAAGCATCTTTTTATATATACTCTCACGTACAGGAAATGCTCTGTTATATTTGCTGCAATGTTGGTTCTTCTCTAAATCTTATAACAAATGTGTCTTCATTGTAAAGCTAGATAGAAATATAAACATATCTGCATCATTCCAGTTGAGTTGAAATGATAAAGCCTTGAGTGAGCATTATCCTGTAGGTATTTCTCTTTAGTACAGGATATGCTGTATTCTATCTGCTGCTGCAATGTTGACTAGAGCATGCCTACTTGCTTTTTATCCTTTTGGTTAGGCTTGGGCTAATAAAAAGGGATTTCTGCCTGGGTCTCTCGTTCGGTTTCCGCCAATTTTATGGGCGCTTTTATTTTTGAATATTTTTTTTACAGAACCTGCTGCTGCTGCTGCTGTTGTTGTTGTGTGTGTTGTGGAGTGTGGATGTGTGGTTCGTAGCCGCTAAAATATTTATGACAAGCGTTGCCCATGAACAGCAGCAGAAGCAGCAGCAGCGGCAGCAACGACGATTTTTCAATATTTGCAAAACAAAATAATAATAATAGTAATAAGGGTACAAAAAGTCTGTATGAGTAATTAAAAAAGTTGCCAGAAAACAAAATGAATGCACTCAAAATTGCAGCGGATTGCATTTCGAAGCGTTTTCATTACATTGAACAAGCGAAGGCTAAGGGTTTCGCCCAACTGGCCAAACTCAAATCAATAATGGGCTCATATGCAGCAGAGTCTAGACTTGCCCACATTTAAACACCCGAATGTCTGTTCATTGACGACCTACATCAATCATTGTGACAATGAACTGATTAAAACATGAAGAGCATAAGAGGATTATATTCTATGTGGCAAGCAAATGAAAAACTGCATTTGGGTTACGCTCATTTCTAATGGAACAAGAAAAAAAAATAAACAAAAGTTTGCTGTACTCATAATTGAAAAGTTGATAGAGTGTTTATTCCGTAGAGTAAAACAATATATATAGTCTAAATGATAATTTAAAATTGATATTTATACCGTGCTCACAATGAGTAGAAGAGTATATTAGTTAGTTTGCCGTTAAATTGCAATCCCTACTTTCGTGGGATAAAGTGTAAAGATATTTTTACAGGCGTCGAAAAGAGTGCTCACAATTATTTATGATTGATTGCTTAATATTAAGAAAAATCTTTTAGATATGTTTATGCTTTCTATAGCTAATTCCACTTTTATACTGTATTAAGCAGTCGTTGATACCCGACTGAAAAGCTGTCACGTTTTTTAAAATAACCAAAATGTAATTAATCTCATACATTATTATACTAATTGCCATTTAAATATACATTATAATAACTCAAAGCTTAAATTTCACTATAATGCAACCCCCCGCCCCACCTCAGCCATATCTTGATGGGAATCAGAGCTGCGGTATGTAAAACTATCAATAAAATAATTATTTGCCTTTATGGAGCTTTTCTGCCCAAGTCTGCTTTCCCTCGTATACTTCCATTTATAGATAATAAAACAAAGACGACAAAACGAAAACTAAATTTTTTAAGTAACTCGCACAAGTTTTTGCAATTTCCCTTTAATAATAATCTATGCAGAAATCGTAGTTAGCTTTTTTCCGCTTTTACTCTTACATTGGCGAAAAACTTTCGTTTGGCTGGAAAACTTGTGGCATTCACTTTTGTTCTCAACTATTAAAAACAAAAAAAAAAAAAAAATGAAAAATAAAATTGGGTTAGCCAAAAATGATACCGAAAATTGTTCAATTAGTTTTTACGTGCGCTCATCTTTTATTCGCTTTATGCTTTATGCATATTCTTAACAAAAGTTTTTCTTTATTTTCCGCATTGAAAATGTGCAACTTTTAACGTGGGAAAAACTTTTGCATCTATTGTTGCACCTGCGGGAATTTCCCTTGCTATACATTTTTTTTTTTTTTTGTTATTATTCTGCACATTTTTTAAATTTACATTTTTTTGGGTTTTTGCTGCAGTTGAACGAGTTTTATATGAAACAAATATGTGCACTTGCCAAAGGGTAGCACGATTCCATATGCAATATGAAACGCATTTTTGTAGGCAAGGTTTTTTTGCCAGATTATTAAAGTGCCAGATATCGGAACAGGTCGAATCGCAACTATTCGGAAAGACTTTGAAGTTTAGCGATTCGAGCCTTACATCTAAAAGGGTGTCTTGTATTCGGTGCAACTTGACATGCAAAATGGCAGACTGATTGAGGGCAATTCTTATTGACACATGGATGGGTTATTTATTTATTTCATTTCCTTTTTTTTTTGTTTGCTTTGCGCCCAAAACTGAGGCAAGTCTTCTGCCCGGCAAACTTACAGCAAAAAAGTTGCACACACACACAAAGAAAGAGAGGAGATATATGTATCTCCATAATGGATTGCACTTAACATGCCACACACACACACAAACACAGACAGCGACACAGATACAAAGCAAACCGCAAGTGCAACATGCACATAGCAGCATAGGTAATACATCATTTAAGTGTGTGGGTCGAAAACTCACCTGTGAGGCACCTGACTGCAATGTTGTGATATTTTCTAAGCGTAGCCCTCTTCTTCCTACTCTGCGGCTGCTTCTTCTTCTACTGCGGCTGGCTGTAATCCCAAAAATGCTTCTGTGGGTTTATCTTTCACCCTACGACGGTCGCTGCTTCTGCTGCTGCTGCTGCTACCGCTGTTGTTGTTGTTGTTGTTGTTGCTGTTTCTTTCTAATCCTTTGTTTATGTTTATGGTAATCCACATGAATATCCAACTAGCACCAATGCACACACGCGCGCACAAACACTCTGTACGGCACACACGTATACGATTTGTGCAATTGTATTTGCATAGATGGCGAATTTAAATTTCGTCACACATTACGTGGGCGGCATATGATTTGCCTATTTGCCTATTGTCAACTCTCTGTCATAACACACACAGACGCACACACATAAACGAGCACAGAAATGCGCGCACTGAATGCCACACACACACACTCACGCACACAGAGAGACGCACACCTACAGGCGAGTGCCGCGTAAGCGTAACGGTTAATGTCCGAAATGCTCGTCGCAGTAACGAGATTTTTGGCTGGTATGTGTTTTGATTTAATTTCGAATTGATTTTCGAACTGCACTCGCGCGCTTTGTTGTTAAACGGATTTGCATATGAAACCGCAATTATTTAATTCAAACGTTTTATTTTTACTTCATATATTTACATAGTTTGCCAATTGGAATTTAGTACGATTTAGGGATCGCAATGGTATAGCACAGTAACATGTCAATCTATGCTGGAGAGCAGTTTAGTTTTTCGTTATTTTTTGCTGCTTTTGCTTAGCTCGACGAGTTTGCTGTTGTTGAAATAATCGCCGTCCGACGCGTGAACCGCTCGCTTTGAAACTTCGGAAGTAACTGAATTCGCTTTCAGCAGAGCAGCACCTGGTTGGGTCACCTCAGCGGCAGCGCCAAAGAGAATGAGAGAGCGGCAGCATAGCTACAAGAGCGCGCGCAACAAACAGAGAGCGGAGCATAGAAAAAAAAAATCAACTTTTGTTTACAACACTCTAGCCGGCGAGCGGCAGCAGTACTGTAGGAGGGGGTTTGTTTTGCAAAGAGCGCAAGCGTCACAGCTGAGCGTGAGAGAATATAACTGAGAGTGACGCTGTTAAGCAGCGCTTATCGTTTACATAATTCAATTTCCTTTTACTTAAGCACTTACAGTGGCAATCAAAATACCGAGAGAACTACATATAAATGCAATGTACCGCTGAGAGCGGTGTGGATGAAACCATTTTAGCACTAGCAGAACAGCAAGCTGTTAAATTATGTAGGTGCGTACAATTGTATGCTTTAACAGTGCCCTGTTATGGGCAACAACAGCAGCGAGGCAGGTGCATTTGCGGCATATCAAAAACATTGCCAGACGGTTAACTCTTAACAGCAGCTGTTAATTTGTAACAGACTGCTGTTGGGCTGGCATTTAAAGTTCAAATGCCAGGCACGTATGCTAATTATGACAAAATAAATACATTTTCCGGTAAAATAATGCAAATGAACGTACATTAAACACCGACAAAATTCAACGACAGACTAGAATTTATATTTGTTTTTCTTTTTGTAATGTCAACGACTTGCTGCTTTTGGGTATGGGCAATTAGATAATTATGTATACATTTGAAATAAGAAATGACAAGAAACTTTCAACGCAAAATATTGATGGTAAGTACTCGCAAGCGTATAAAAATTAAAGCGTTTAATGCAAAAACTCTTAAGTGCAGCATTAAACCCTTTCTTGACAAAACACTTAACTCTATTTTTGCTCATGATTGGCCGCTTGAGTCCTCGTCAAACCACATATAAACAAGCACAACCCAAAGCCCATACATCTGCCCAGTCACAGGCACAGGCGGCACATCTACATAAACTGCAGCCTTTGCTTTTAGCAGTCTGTTAAGGTGCACAAACATGGGGCGCGCGCACCCAACGGCTCATTAACATTTCAAATTCATGGCAGTGTTGAACGTAAAACGACCCATTTGTCTGACATTAACAGCAGCAGCCGCTTTTACATTGCCAGCCCGAACGAGCCATTAACATTTAAATTGATGGCAAGCACTTGCAGTGGGACTCAGTTTAGTTGCTCTGCAACAGAAATGTTAAGTCAGAAATTTTCTATATATTCTGTCTAAATATCATATTTAAGGGTAACATTTTGGCATGAATTTTGACCAAAAACAGTGTTGTCAGATTTTGATGCCAAATTGATTTACAGACCAAACCATTATAAAAAAACCCAAGTTTCGTGAAAATCGGATGAGATTAGACCGAGTTATGGGGATTGGAAATTTTGACCCATGTCTATATATCATATTTGAGGGTAACATTTTGACATGAATTTTGACCAAAAACAGTGTTGTCAGATTTTGATGCCAAATTGGTTTACAGTCCAAGCCATTATAAAAAAACCCAAGTTTCGTGAAAATCGGATGAGAATTGACTGAGTTATGGGGGTTGAAAACTTTGCCCCATGTCTATATAGGAATCTTGAGGTAAGATTTTGACATGAATTTTGACCAAAAACAGTGTTGTCAGATTTTGATGCCAAATTGGTTTACAGTCCAAACCATTATAAAAAACCCAAGTTTCGTGAAAATCGGATGAGATTTGACCGAGTTATGGGGATGGGAAACTTTGACCGATGTCTACATAGGAATCTTGAGGTAAGATTTTGACATGAATTTTGACCAAAAACAGTGTGTCCATATTTTGATGCCAAATTGATTTACAGTCCAAACCATTATAAAAAACCCAAGTTTCGTGAAAATCGGATGAGAATTGACTGAGTTATGGGGGTGGAAAACTTTGCCCCATGTCTATATAGGAATCTTGAGGTAAGATTTTGACATGAATTTTGACCAAAAACAGTGTTGTCAGATTTTGATGCCAAATTGGTTTACAGTCCAAACCATTGTAAAAAACCCAAGTTTCGTGAAAATCGGATGAGAATTGACTGAGTTATGGGGGTGGAAAAGTTTGCCCCATGTCTATATAGGAATCTTGAGGTAAGATTTTGACATGAATTTTGACCAAAAACAGTGTGTCCATATTTTGATGCCAAATTGATTTACAGTCCAAACCATTGTAAAAAACCCAAGTTTCGTGAAAATCGGATGAGAATTGACTGAGTTATGGGGGTGGAAAACTTTGCCCCATGTCTATATAGGAATCTTGAGGTAAGATTTTGACATGAATTTTGACCAAAAACAGTGTTGACAGATTTTGATGCCAAATTGATTTACAGTCCAAACCATTATAAAAAACCCAAGTTTCGTGAAAATCGGATGAGAATTGACTGAGTTATGGGGGTGGAAAACTTTGCCCCATGTCTATATAGGAATCTTGAGGTAAGATTTTGACATGAATTTTGACCAAAAACAGTGTGTCCATATTTTGATGCCAAATTGATTTACAGTCCAAACCATTATAAAAAACCCAAGTTTCGTGAAAATCGGATGAGAATTGACTGAGTTATGGGGGTGGAAAACTTTGCCCCATGTCTATATAGGAATCTTGAGGTAAGATTTTGACATGAATTTTGACCAAAAACAGTGTTGTCAGATTTTGATGCCAAATTGGTTTACAGTCCAAACCATTATAAAAAACCCAAGTTTCGTGAAAATCGGATGAGATTTGACCGAGTTATGGGGATGGGAAACTTTGACCGATGTCTACATAGGAATCTTGAGGTAAGATTTTGACATGAATTTTGACCAAAAACAGTGTGTCCATATTTTGATGCCAAATTGATTTACAGTCCAAACCATTATAAAAAACCCAAGTTTCGTGAAAATCGGATGAGAATTGACTGAGTTATGGGGGTGGAAAACTTTGCCCCATGTCTATATAGGAATCTTGAGGTAAGATTTTGACATGAATTTTGACCAAAAACAGTGTTGTCAGATTTTGATGCCAAATTGGTTTACAGTCCAAACCATTGTAAAAAACCCAAGTTTCGTGAAAATCGGATGAGAATTGACTGAGTTATGGGGGTGGAAAAGTTTGCCCCATGTCTATATAGGAATCTTGAGGTAAGATTTTGACATGAATTTTGACCAAAAACAGTGTGTCCATATTTTGATGCCAAATTGATTTACAGTCCAAACCATTGTAAAAAACCCAAGTTTCGTGAAAATCGGATGAGAATTGACTGAGTTATGGGGGTGGAAAAGTTTGCCCCATGTCTATATAGGAATCTTGAGGTAAGATTTTGACATGAATTTTGACCAAAAACAGTGTTGTCAGATTTTGATGCCAAATTGGTTTACAGTCCAAACCATTGTAAAAAACCCAAGTTTCGTGAAAATCGGATGAGAATTGACTGAGTTATGGGGGTGGAAAACTTTGCCCCATGTCTATATAGGAATCTTGAGGTAAGATTTTGACATGAATTTTGACCAAAAACAGTGTTGACAGATTTTGATGCCAAATTGATTTACAGTCCAAACCATTATAAAAAACCCAAGTTTCGTGAAAATCGGATGAGAATTGACTGAGTTATGGGGGTGGAAAACTTTGCCCCATGTCTATATAGGAATCTTGAGGTAAGATTTTGACATGAATTTTGACCAAAAACAGTGTTGTCAGATTTTGATGCCAAATTGGTTTACAGTCCAAACCATTATAAAAAACCCAAGTTTCGTGAAAATCGGATGAGATTTGACCGAGTTATGGGGATGGGAAACTTTGACCGATGTCTACATAGGAATCTTGAGGTAAGATTTTGACATGAATTTTGACCAAAAACAGTGTGTCCATATTTTGATGCCAAATTGATTTACAGTCCAAACCATTATAAAAAACCCAAGTTTCGTGAAAATCGGATGAGAATTGACTGAGTTATGGGGGTGGAAAACTTTGCCCCATGTCTATATAGGAATCTTGAGGTAAGATTTTGACATGAATTTTGACCAAAAACAGTGTTGTCAGATTTTGATGCCAAATTGATTTACAGTCCAAACCATTATAAAAAACCCAAGTTTCGTGAAAATCGGATGAGATTTGACCGAGTTATGGGGATGGGAAATTTTGACCCATGTCTATATATCATATTTGAGGGTAACATTTTGACATGAATTTTGACCAAAAACAGTGTTGTCAGATTTTGATGCCAAATTGATTTACAGTCCAAACCATTATAAAAAACCCAAGTTTCGTGAAAATCGGATGAGATTTGACCGAGTTATGGGGATGGGAAATTTTGACCCATGTCTATATATCATATTTGAAGGTAACATTTGGACATGAATTTTGACCAAAAACAGTGTTGCCAGATTTTGATGCCAAATTGATTTACAGTCCAAACCATCATAAAAAGCCCAAGTTTCGTGAAAATCGGATGAGATTTGACCGAGTTATGTGGGTAGAAAATTTTGACCCAAGTCTATATATCATATTTGAGGGTAACATTTTGACATGAATTTTGACCAAAAACAGTGTGTCCAGATTTTGATGCCAAGTTGATTTACAGGCCAAACCATGATCAAAACCCCAAGTTTCATGAAAATCGGATGAGAGTTGACCGAGTTATGGGGATGGGAAATTTTGACCCATGTCTATATAGGAAGCTTGGAGTAAGATTTTGGCAATTCGACTTAGATCTATATCTATATCTATTTTCTATCGAAAATAAGATTCATAAGATTAATATATCAACTGGGCAGAGCTACAGAAAATTATATTGAAAATAATTTCTGCGTCCGTGTTGAATATACCCGATGTCATTTAATATTTATATGTATAGGGTATAGGAATCCTACACATAGAATCAATTAAAAACTGGTATTTAATACCCCAGCAACATAAAACGCATTAAGAATCCTTCACTGTGCATAAGCGCAATAATATGCCTCGACATCAATCTG